TGAAGAGACCTGATGCAAGACTGAGATTACTGTGACCGTTTTTTGCACAAATTAGTTTGTTCACCTGCCCTGTAGCCAGGGCACATCGGCATGGAGCCCATGACGCGGGTTATATTTGGCTTTGAATCTTCTAGAGTTGATTTCTTCCGCTTCAGGCGTGCTATGTATCGTCATGTTAGGGGGGGGGCAGCATTTTTGAGTAGGGGCCATACCGAAAGAGGGAGTATGGGCCGGGTCGCATCGAAGGATGAGCTATGGGGCGAAGATGAGAAGAGCGACTGAAGAAAATCTTTCCTACTCCGTCCTCTTCTTGTTAGGAAGAACCTTCTTTCCCATGAGCAGGGTACAGCATCGTGATTTGTTAAACGGCGACCCCCCCCCTCACCTCCATCCCCGCTCCTACTTCTGATTCCCCACAATTTTCCAGTTTTGCACCCAGAGATTTTCCGTCGAGCGTGGGGGGGGAGGTGGATATAGCCAACAGGAAACGGAAAAGTCACGCGAAAACTCTACAACCGGAGGGAATTTTTCTCATGGTCAGCGCGGCAAATTTCTGTCAAAGCCAATACGACCCCCTCTCTCCCAACAACTGCCAAATGCGACCGTTCCCCCCTCCCCAGCCGAAAAGTCGAAAAGTAGGACTGCGTATGTGTTTCACACAACGATGCTGTACCCTGCCTATGAGGACTCGCTCCCCTTAGCTCAGGCAATCATAATCAATTAGTTTGTCGCAATCCCTACAATCCTTGCGCTCGTCCCTTGTGGAGCGATGTGCCACCTCCAACTGAAATGGCGCCTCGATTTATTTGTACTTTCATTTTTTTCCACCTGCGGAATACCACCTTGGGCATGTTTTTAACTTAATTTTTCTCCTGAAAACCTTTTTCGACTCAACATTTCCTTTTCAGGAAGATTCTCCAGACTCCGGCCTTGGTTGCAGTGGACCAGCACATATCGAGGACTGGGCCTCACTTTCGATTCTGCTCCCTAAGTGAGTCATTGACGTCATAATTGTTTCTCCTTCTCCTTGGATTTCTTCATGTTTTTCCTCTTTTTGTCTGACGTCATTGTGCGCCCTCCACATAATTGCTCCATCGGGCCTTCATCCTTCTGCACGTATGTGGATTTCTTCCGCTACTCTGCTTCTATTGATTTCGCATTTGAGCGGGCGCGGCACTCACACGCACGTTTACCCCGGGGATTCTAATTGCGCTCGTCCCTAGTGGAATGTGAACGCCGCGTGTTGTTTGATAGATAACCAACTTGTTGTTGATGTGTGCGTGTGAATGCTTGGATGCTATTTCTTTCGGAGGGTCACGCGGCAGAATGCGTTCAAGTGTAAAAGTATTCAGTTTCACATGTTCTTGTGGGAATTTCTTAATTTTTGGTGAGACAGGAGGATCAGGTTGAACAGTTTTTACCGTAAAAGATCTCGAGAAGGTGACATAGTCTGAATAATCACGCGACTTTTCATAAGCCGGGCCTCTTTTCATAAGCTGGGCTGAATGATTCCATGCCACCCGCTTGCCGTGCTATTAGACCAGGAGACAAATTCTGGGCTGAAATTCTCACCTCCCCCTCCGAACGCTTGAATACCTTTGGCGAGAACTTCCAATTCCTCTGGCGTTGGTTAACTGTCCGGACTTGGCCGGAGAAGAAGAAGCACTGACCTATGGCTTATTGTTAGGCAATGGCCTTCCCAGGTCATTGCATAACAATAAGCCGAATCGCTCAAAGAAAGAGAATGCATGGCGCATCCAAAAAAGGGTTCGGAAGCTTTATCCTTTTTTGATGTTGCCCATTGGTTTACTTGTCTTCGATGTGCGATATAATCAGGACTTGGGAACCCTCTGCCAGGGCACATTATGGCTTTGTGAAATATTTGCTTTACAGCACCCCCCCCCCCCTCCGGCGCTGCTTGACCCCATTAACCCAGAATCCCATTTTATCCTGCCACACCTCTCTACTTCCAGTTTTTCAAAAAAAATTTGTCGGATGGGAGAGAGGGAGAATGGACTATACCGAAAGGGCAAGGCGGAGGAAAATAAGGGTATCTCCTCAAAATTTCCTTTCTCACGGACTCCTCTCCCTAAATCACGCACAACCCTCAACGACTTGAATACGATCCCTTCCCTTGAAGTTTGATGGAGTACCTTATCTTTTGCATGCATAGATAGCAGAAAAAGTTCAAAAGTTCCTTGGAATCCTAATGTGGGCCTTCCTTTTAGTCCTTTAAGGGCGATATTATTGCGTTTTCCTTGGGTCCTCATGTATTTGCTCACCGCCTACTTGCATCCTAGGCTAAGGTACTTGGACACTGGCTCGTATATGGGCTGACTCCATCGGGCTGCGATCTGGAAGGGCTAAACGTTGGAACAGAGAAAGGAATGCTGGTTCACTGGATCCATTCAATCCATAGATTTTTCGTTGTAAGGGTTGAGGTAGCGATCTATCTGACTAGGGAACCAGTTCTCAAGAGGCCAGCCGAGGCATCGGGAAAACGAAGTCATCAAAAGAACAAATGAAGTTGGCAATTCCAAAAACCACGCTTCCCTTCTTCTAATGATTGCCTCCCATTAACCAGTACATCCATTGGACTAATTTCTGCGTGGCCAGTCCAGTTTCTTCCATCATTCTAGAAGAAGCCACAAAAATATTTTGTGGGAGGTCGGAGTTCTTTACACCCTTTCGCTCATTCTACGGGATTTTATGGCCTCTGCTTTTTTTAAAAAAATTAGTTCACCATGACTCTTCGCGGCCACGTCTTTTATTGTCTCACGTTTTTCCTTCGCAGTGGTGGTCGTTAACGGTTTTTAATGAAATATTCTTTTGTATGATCGAGCTTACCTCCAATGAATACATGCGATGGGTGTATGAAAGGAATGTACGGATGAAAAAGTCCACAATGAGTCAGAGGGATGATTTGCCACTGTTCATTTGTGAATCATGCCTCAGATGGGTTTTTTCCTATCGCGAATTAATAGATTCCGCTTTCATCTTTTGTGTTTCGGGCGTACGGTCCCCGCCTGGAAACCAAGTTGTACCGTTACACGGGAGGGGGGGTGTCTACCTATTACGCCCTGCTTTTCTTCTTATGTCTTGTAGGATTAGGACTGCCTTGATGTTAATTCATAACGAAGTGCTTTTCCTCCTTGGGTCATTAATCAATACGTATGTTTTCTGTGGTCACGCTGCTGTCGTATGAGTTTTTTTTCACGACGCATCAGTCACTCAAGGCATGCTGTTTTTTGCGCGAAGCATTATCAGGTGCACTTCGCATGCTGAGTGTTGTAAAACAAGCCGACGTTGATGCCATCTTCAACATGTCCTAATCAATCATATTGTATGTTTGAGCGTGGGATGCAGTGCCGGGGCGGAAGACCCTGGAAATAGAATGCGTTTCATGTGCATGGGCCGGTTGGGAGATCCATGTCGTGGCGCCCAAAATAGCTAATAGTTCCTAGACAGTTGACTAGCTTACCCACAGTAAATCTTTCGCCGCAACGCGGATCTCCCAACCTGCGCCTTGTGTCCTAGAATAGAAATGGTATGTACTATGAAGAGCATACATATTGTTTATTTCTTTCACCTGTCGACCAACCATTGATTTCCTTGCGAGGAAGACTTAATTTGGACGGGGGGCTGAATTCAAGAATACAGCACCACAGCCCGGGATTGCAGGCGTCGCCGCTTAATTTCAATTTGATCGGCGCGGCGGCTACGGCTTTGGTGAGGTATTGCAGTTTTAGGGGCAGTATTGTTTGGTTTACTGATAATGTATTCTGCTGCACAAGAGCAGGATACGTTGTCTAAATCGAAAATATTCCGAAAAATAATCATCCTACGTCGCCGATCCTGTTGAGTGAAGCACGCAGCCACGCCCCTGCAATCTCCAGGATATGGAGCTGGAATGTCTTCGTGAAACCAGGCGAGAGTCCATGACGGTTATTCAGGAAACTACGTCTCTATCCTTCCTCTTGTTTCTTTGTGCTCTGTCCTGTCCGAGTCCAGTGGTCGGCAACGAAACTGATAGCGGGGAGCGGGACGAGTATGCTTCTGGGGCAAGTCGACCCAAAGGGAGACACTTAATGAAATCTTGAATCCCCCTCACTTCCTGGTATAGATCGTTTCGCAGATACAACTATTTTCGGAGTTTTTGTCTCAATAGTCAGAGTAAAAAAGGGTCAAAAATCCCCTTCTTTCCCCGGAAAAACCACCGTCGAGCGAGGAGGGGAGGTGGACAGAAGGACATATAGCGCACTTGAAACTGGTTCCCGAAGGCGCAACTACGACCTCCTCCTTCTAGTGACCAAGCACGACACCTACCTGGGATCCATTACGTGTATTACATCCGGAAGATGGGGAGGGCGTG